TGCTGAGGACAATTCAGGTGCATCACTGACATCCACAACAAAGTGCTTCGAAAAATAAATGTGTCTATCAGAAGAGGCAGATATTTTCTTTTTATTGACATTGATTTGCCTGTACTGCATTCTGCTTTCTCCTCTTCTCTCTCTTTCTCAGGCGATAGAGTAATGGCAGATGAACAACTGACCTGTGATCTTTTCCGATTCCTCTAGCTTCTTTGTGAAGGCCATAATACTGGTTAGAACAAACATTGTTTTTTTTGTTGTTGTTGTTTAATAGTGCAAGGTTCTTTTGTACTATGGCTGTCAATTCAACAGGTGAAGTGAAATATGCTTTGTTAAAATACTTTCTCCTATCCAACTTTAACCATACTATAAGTAAGCTATTTGTAGACTGATTCCCCTAAAGAGTGTACACACTGTCATGCTACACAACAATGGTTCAACATATCAGCAGTTGGCTCATGCAATGGCAGTATGGGAATTATACTACCTTCAAAAGTAAGGGATAAAACATTGTGTTTTTTTTTAAACAGAAACAATTTTCTTCAGCACAGATGCATTAAATGGTTCAAAAGTGATAGTTTAGAAATGTACGATGTTACAAAATGTATCTATTTCAAATATTTACAAAAATATTAAGCTGCACAACTCTGTTCAGCACAACATTGATAATGATGTTTCTTGAGCACCAAATCAGAATATTAGAATGATCATGTGACACTGAAGACTGGAATAACAGCTACTGGAAATTTAGTAATATTACATTTAAAATGTTATTAAATTGTAATGATATTTTACAATATTACTGTTTTAATGTATTTTAGCTGTGTATATATTAGTTTACAGATCTGCACACTCTGAATCACAAAGTATTAAGTAAACAGACAAGTAAAAAAGTAAATACATAATTTTTTTTTTAAACCAAGTTCAAGAATTTAAGACCCTTTAAATCAGATTTTTAAGATGAGAAATTCAGTCAAGTATTTTAAAACTTTTGACTGGCAGTGTAAATTTAAATCCATGTGAGACTTCTAACAATATTTGCAAGTGGATTTTAATGTGTTCGGAACTTGACATGTTTGAAATATCACCAATAAGCAAAAGACACCATTGGCAGTATTGGAAGCCCACTGGTGCACTGCAACTGCAGGCTAGCAACCGAAACATGTTTGTTGTTTTGTTTTGTATCGTCAAAAAGGAAATAAATCCACAACATTGTAAAAGGAAAAACAGCCTGTACATTCTCAATGTAAGATTAATGATGGAAAAAAAATCAGATTATTCATTATTGATAAATGTAATCCATCGACAGCCCTATTTTAAACAGCATCAATATTCTGGTCTATTTTTGTAAAAACTGGAGACTGAAATTTCCCCCACAGGCTTCCAGAACTACCTGTGGACTCAAACTGGAAACAACACAACAGTCAACCTTATCATCTCCACTATGGACTGTCTGCTCGGGGTTCCAGGCAAGCCCACTGACTCAACCCCAAACACTAGTTTCTTACATTTTTCATTATGCCTGTGTGTAATATACATGTAAAGGAATGAAAAATGTGTGTTTGCTGCTGTAAGTGGTTTGAGAGTTTCAGCACCGAATGGAGAAGGGCCCAAAACAGTGAGACAGAGCTTGTCGCCAAATAAAATTTCCATAAACCATTCATCGCTAACAGGCCACCTTCATTTTATTTGTCTGATACTGAGAATGATGGATGGCCTCATATCTACAGAAGTCCATCAGCGAAATACCATTTCTACTGGTATTATTCAGGGAAGGATGTGATTGATGAGCGTGGTCAGCACAACTTCTCCAAATCCATCAGCGTGGCCAAGCAAGTGTTCAACACACTCACTGAATACATTCAGGTAAATTCACATAAGCAAATGGGTCAGCAGTGATGGGGCTTGTATGAAAAATCTGTTTTGTCAAAATGTAAAGATACAGAGTAATGTTTTGATAACTGTGTCCTAAGATTCTATGTTATTATCTCCTTTTAATGTTTTGTTTCAAATGAATGCATCTCGGAGGCCTAATGCCACACCTGCTGTGTCTGTCTTCGTTCACACCATAATGTGGTGTTATATGTTGTGAAGCAACTCGTTTAATTAATCTCTTTACCTAACATCAATTAAAACCTTTAATTGTCTAATTTATGGTCCGTGTACAGGTAACCAGCAGTCTTTGGGACGCCGTAGTTGGCTTCCTCCATGTGTTTGCCCATATGCAAATAACGCTTTCTCAGGTTAGCCTATAGATAAATTACTTTAAATCTTATGTGCTAATTTATTCATTGCAAAGAAAAGTGTATGAAACTTAAGGGAATAAATGAAATAAAAGAATGGTGTTTTGTGTCTGCAGGATTCTAGCTAAATAGAGCTTTGATGGACTTACAAAAAGACATGGTGGTAATGTTGCTTTCCATTCTTGAATGTTGGAGAGTCATTAAAAGTCTTCAAATTTTTTATGCTTTTCCGTGCAGTCCTTCTTTTGCTTCTTAGAAATGTGGCATTGTCGATTTTCCAATCAATGTTAGTATACTAATATCAGTATACTGAGTCTGTTTTTACATTGTGTTGGATTGTTTGGTCTTTGTTATTTGTCAAATCTTTACACAAACAAATGTGCGTGTGTTCATACAAACTGTGAACCCGTATTGGCATCCATATGACTGGAAACCCACTTTTGCAGCAACCAAATTTCGAATTCCACTCCAAAAGCTGCAGTTTGAAAGAGTCTAATTGTCCTACAGTCATTTTGAGCACGTCAAGTCACCTTAATTTTTATTGCTCTATATACAATAGAGAATCAGAGCAGCTTCACGGTATTAAACAAGAAAGTAACAAAATCAGTGATGCAAACTTCAAAATGAGGCACATACAAAATTCCATTTCCATTATTCAGCTCCATTCAGTTCAGTGTTGGTTCAGTATCTGTGTAAATTCTATTCATTATGAAACAAGTTAAATTCAGTGATAAGCAGCTTTACTGAAGGCATGCATAAATATTTCTTTGTGTTTCTAGGAAACGTAGTGAATGGGACCATTGGCAAACAGATGGTAGATATGCTAGTAGAATCATCCAGCAATGTGGAGATGATCCTTAAATTCTTTGATATGTTCCTCAAGCTCAAAGACCTCACATCGTCTGAAGCTTTTCGCGAATACCACCCAGACGGCAGAGGACTCGTTACCAAGAAGGACTTCCACCGAGCCATGGAAGGTTTCAAGCACTACTCTCAATCAGAGATTCAAGATTATTTTATTGATGAGATTCATAATTCAAGATGGCACCGCACATGGTCAGTCTGTTGCTCCTTGGTACTTTTACTGTTTTTGTTTGTTTTTCCTGTCTTAAGCAATGTTTATTATCTTTCATTTTCATTTCACTTTCATTATCATTCTTAGAGATTTTAATAAAGCTAATCTCACCCATGAACTGCCTAAATTTAGACAGCACATCACGTGCCCCACTAGAGACAACAATATACTGGACCACTGCTACACTGTTTTAAAGGATGCATACCACTCTGTCCCCCGAGTAGCGCTGGGACTCTCGGATCACTCTTTGGTTCATCTTCTACCAGCCTAAAGGCAGAAACTCAAATATGCTAAGCCTGTAGTAAAAACTGTAAAGACATGGACTGTTGAAGCAGAGCAGGATTTACAGGCCTGCTTCGAATTTACTGATTGGAGTGTTTTTGAGGCTGCAGCTACTGATCTGGATGAGCTTACTGACACCGTGACATCCTACATTAGTTTCTGTGAGGACATGTGTGTACCCACCAGGACTTATTTACATTTAACAACGACAAACTTGTTTTTGCTCAGTACAAAAAAGTTTTGTTCAGTACAAAACTCAAACAGCTTCGCCAGGCCAAAGAGGATGCCTACAGGAGTGGGGACAAAGACTTGTACAAACAGGCCAAATACACACTAAATAGAGAGATAAGAGTGGCAAAGTTAAACTACTCTGGAAAATCTCTTCAGCCTGCCTCGAAGCCTGTGCTGTCCAGCTATCATCCATCTTCAGATTGATCTTCAACAGATCACTGGAGCTGTGTGAAGTCCCCTCCTGCTTCAAACGCTCCTCCATCATCCCTGTACCCAAGAAACCAAAACTCACATGACTACAGACCTGTTGCTTTAACATCTGTGGTGATGAAGTCATTTGAGAGACTGGAGTTGGCCCACCTGAAGGACATTACTGGACCCTTGCTGGACATTTGTGTCCACTTTGAACATTTTTGTCCAATAAATTGACATAAGTGGACATAATGTTGTGCATTTGTGTCCAACCAGTCTGCATTTTTGTCCCCTTAGTCTCTGTCCATTTATGTCCATTAACTGTATGTCTTTTTTGTTAACATTACAAACAGGTGGAAATCTGTGATGAGGATTTTCATGAGGTGCAAGAGGAGGAGGATTCAGAGACTAAGAAAGCTTTGTAAGTGCTCCAGACTGGGGAGAGATAAAACTTTGAAAACAGAAAATACTGCTGTTTTAACAGGGAATACCGCTGATTTGTAGCTTTTAAGTGTTTCATTACTCTCCCCCATGGGAATCTCAGGGAACATATGAAGAGATCTTTGAATTTTCTCGATTGTACCCTTGAGTACAAAGGATGTTCAGGGCCTGAACAATTAAAAGGATGTGAAAATAAAATTGAAAAGCTGGAAATTAGTGTTACTCCCACAGAAAATGCACAAATACTTCACATTTTATAAAAATTCAATTCGTTTTGACATGAAGGCTTGTTCGGTGGTATGAATCAGAAACACGCAGTGACCAGTGTCTGATTTCCTAGTCTCATGAGCCGGTTTGAATCGGTCTAAAACACTATCTGTTCAAAGTTTTAGGGTCAGTAAAATTGATTTTTTAAAACAAAATTAATACTTTTATTCCGCAAGGATGCATTACATTGATTAAGTGACAGTAAAGACATTTACCATGTTACAAAATATTTATATTTTAAAAAATGCCTAAAATATTGCATTTAAATTATGCAGTGAAGAGGATAAACATAAACGGGGAAAACCTAAATGGAGACTTAGAAAGCTCAGCTCTTCAAAACCAGATGAAACTGAAATCCAGGATTCAGCTGTTTGGAAAATGATCTGCTCTCAGAAGACCAAACTGCTGGTATGTTTCTCTCTCTGTCTCTGTTGTTTTCCAGCTGCACAATACAAGCATACTGTACTAACAGATGTTTAACCATGTGATCTGATGACTGGCAAGTATTTTCTCTTCAGAACTCTTTTGTGAGAAATTTCTACAACATGAGATTGTTGGCTCTGTTCCTTACCCTTGCCATCAATTTTATTCTTCTGTTCTACAAGGTGAGTATTGATTTCCCTGCTAAAACATCAGCTTTAATGTTGCTGGTCAGGCTGGTCTGTTTTAATGTGTTTAGGCCACTTGGTTTGAGAAACCAGCTAAAATAACTCACTACCAGCTTGTCCAGGTTGGGAGTTCAGTTGCAGTCAACCACACAGGGTTTTGCTGTTCAAACCTAGATTTCACCAAAAACATCTATATAATTATTTTATTTAGGTTTCATCGACCATTGATGATGACGAAGAAGTGGAGATCACTGTTTGTGACGACAGCACCAAAGGTTCACAGGAAGTTTATTTTGAACTAGAAGAGAACAGTGGCTACATGAAAATGATTCTTCACAGCCTGGCTGTCCTGCACACACTCATCTCACTCGGCTGTATCATCGGCTACTACTGTCTGAAGGTTATACACACCTCACACACACACACCTCACGCAACACAACAGGCACCTAAGTTTTGTGCAAGTACCCACTATATTTCTTATGGTGAAACTAAAAACATGTCTTTGATAGACTAAATAATGCCTTCACCTTTCTGGCTTTTGTTAAACCTCTCAGACATACAGTAGGGTCCACAAGTCTGAAACCAGTAGAGGAATACTTCTATTTTTCACTTTATTTTTAACTTGAACTGCATAAATCAGATCATGTTTTCCAACATTATTTGAGATTATCCAAAGAGCATCTCTGGAACATCTGTCCATCTCTACAAAGAGTCACTTGATCAGTGTCACAAATTTACTTATAAGTGACCTAGAAATAGTGTGGAATCAGAAGTATTTTTATTCATTTTAGGTCATAGGTCACATTCTTCCTTAGTTTTTATTTTTTCCAATTCAAAATATTGTTTGTTTACAGCTTTACATCTAACTAACTTTATCATCATCTGACCCTGAGAGTGTTGCTATGCAGTTGCTAGGGTGTTCTGATTGGTTGCTGCTGGTGGTTATTTACTGGCTCACCCCCAAGTGTCTATGACATTTAGTCTCAGGTCTCTCTTTCAGTGTCAGTCTGCGGGATGCTTCCTATTTATCATCCTCCAGGTGGAAAGTATAGATCCAGTGTCTATAAGTAACAGCAGACTTCTCCACAATAGGACACATGCTTTGAGATATCATTCATAACTGTAGCATGTACGGTGTGGGAGGAATTACGTGCTGAATTTAATACTTGGGTTAGTTTAATACTAACTAATAATGATCTACTTCCTGGATGTGGTACAGTAAGCTGTGTGATTTGAGCTGCAGGTTCAAACTGTTTTTCTGTGATGGCTTTCCGTGCTGCAGGTGATGACGAAATATAGAGAGCTGTATGGATCGGCATGCGTCAGTGAGCTGCTGGGTTTGGATAAAGCCGCACTGGACTTCAGCTCAGAGGCTCAGGAGAGCAAGAGACCCGTACAAAAGGTTGCCCTGTGAGTTACGACCCTGTGACCCTGTCTTGACTATTTACCATATTTATTTCACCAACCAAACCAGTTTCTATTCAGCAAAACAGCCCAATCATTTAATCTGCAGAGACTGACAATGAAAAAACGATTTCTGTGTTTGCCAGATGATGGCGTCAGTATTCAATATGGTAGGCTTTAAATAAATCAAATAAATCATTCTCATGTTTTCACAGCTTTAGATTAAACACCGTTGATGTGAAGTACCAGATATGGAAGCTGGGAGTGGTTTTCACCGACAATGTAAGATCCCCTGACTCTTTAAATACTGAACATATAATACCTGAAGAAATTGACCATCAGTGAGTCAAATCTGAAATTAAATTGTGTTTTCCTTTCTCTCAGTCCTTCCTTTACCTGACATGGTGTATGTTTGTGTCAGTCCTGGGTCATTATAACAATGTCTTCTTCGTTGCCCACCTGCTAGACATCGCCATGGGCTTCAAAACACTGCGCACCATACTGTCATCTGTTACACATAATGGCAAACAGGTACTACATTTGATGTGTGTTTGTGTGTATATAAAGTCGCCCCAAAATGTATTTAGACGCTCAAGTCACACTTCAAAAATATGAATGTCATTATACTGTCATTATAATGTTATTATAACAAAAATATGCTAGCACTAACTGGTCAGGTTTTATTTATGTATGTTATATGTATATGTATATTTTTATATTTATATACTACTATTCAACTGTTTTCTATTTTAATTTATTTCAAGATGTAATTTATTCCTGTCATGGCAAAGTTGAATTTTCAGCAGGCATTACTCCAGTCTTCAGTGCCACTTGATGCTACAAAAATCATTCTCATGTGCTGATTTGATGCTCAAGAACATTTCTTATTGTTATCAGTATTGAGAAAGTTGATTATTAATCATTTTGTGAAAAAGCCTGTACTCATGATCTGTGAAGATGATGTAAGCAAAGTCTTCAGGAGACAGAAGATAAGGAAAGCCAAAGGCCCAGATGGTATCTCTTCAGCCTGCCTCGAAGCCTGTGCTGTCCAGCTATCATCCATCTTCAGATTGATCTTCAACAGATCACTGGAGCTGTGTGAAGTCCCCTCCTGCTTCAAACGCTCCTCCATCATCCCTGTACCCAAGAAACCAAAACTCACATGACTACAGACCTGTTGCTTTAACATCTGTGGTGATGAAGTCATTTGAGAGACTGGAGTTGGCCCACCTGAAGGACATTACTGGACCCTTGCTGGACATTTGTGTCCACTTTGAACATTTTTGTCCAATAAATTGACATAAGTGGACATAATGTTGTGCATTTGTGTCCAACCAGTCTGCATTTTTGTCCCCTTAGTCTCTGTCCATTTATGTCCATTAACTGTATGTCTTTTTTGTTAACATTACAAACAGGTGGAAATCTGTGATGAGGATTTTCATGAGGTGCAAGAGGAGGAGGATTCAGAGACTAAGAAAGCTTTGTAAGTGCTCCAGACTGGGGAGAGATAAAACTTTGAAAACAGAAAATACTGCTGTTTTAACAGGGAATACCGCTGATTTGTAGCTTTTAAGTGTTTCATTACTCTCCCCCATGGGAATCTCAGGGAACATATGAAGAGATCTTTGAATTTTCTCGATTGTACCCTTGAGTACAAAGGATGTTCAGGGCCTGAACAATTAAAAGGATGTGAAAATAAAATTGAAAAGCTGGAAATTAGTGTTACTCCCACAGAAAATGCACAAATACTTCACATTTTATAAAAATTCAATTCGTTTTGACATGAAGGCTTGTTCGATGGTATGAATCAGAAACACGCAGTGACCAGTGTCTGATTTCCTAGTCTCATGAGCCGGTTTGAATCGGTCTAAAACACTATCTGTTCAAAGTTTTAGGGTCAGTAAAATTGATTTTTTAAAACAAAATTAATACTTTTATTCCGCAAGGATGCATTACATTGATTAAGTGACAGTAAAGACATTTACCATGTTACAAAATATTTATATTTTAAAAAATGCCTAAAATATTGCATTTAAATTATGCAGTGAAGAGGATAAACATAAACGGGGAAAACCTAAATGGAGACTTAGAAAGCTCAGCTCTTCAAAACCAGATGAAACTGAAATCCAGGATTCAGCTGTTTGGAAAATGATCTGCTCTCAGAAGACCAAACTGCTGGTATGTTTCTCTCTCTGTCTCTGTTGTTTTCCAGCTGCACAATACAAGCATACTGTACTAACAGATGTTTAACCATGTGATCTGATGACTGGCAAGTATTTTCTCTTCAGAACTCTTTTGTGAGAAATTTCTACAACATGAGATTGTTGGCTCTGTTCCTTACCCTTGCCATCAATTTTATTCTTCTGTTCTACAAGGTGAGTATTGATTTCCCTGCTAAAACATCAGCTTTAATGTTGCTGGTCAGGCTGGTCTGTTTTAATGTGTTTAGGCCACTTGGTTTGAGAAACCAGCTAAAATAACTCACTACCAGCTTGTCCAGGTTGGGAGTTCAGTTGCAGTCAACCACACAGGGTTTTGCTGTTCAAACCTAGATTTCACCAAAAACATCTATATAATTATTTTATTTAGGTTTCATCGACCATTGATGATGACGAAGAAGTGGAGATCACTGTTTGTGACGACAGCACCAAAGGTTCACAGGAAGTTTATTTTGAACTAGAAGAGAACAGTGGCTACATGAAAATGATTCTTCACAGCCTGGCTGTCCTGCACACACTCATCTCACTCGGCTGTATCATCGGCTACTACTGTCTGAAGGTCATACACACCTCTCTCTTACACATACACACACCACACGCAACACAACAGGCACTTTAGTTTTGTACCTGTGCAAATAACCCACTATATATTTCTTGTGAGGAAACTAAACATATATCTTTGATAGACTAAATAATGCCTTCACCTTTCTGGCTTTTGTTAAACCTCTCAGACATACAGTAGGGTCCACAAGTCTGAAACCAGTAGAGGAATACTTCTATTTTTCACTTTATTTTTAACTTGAACTGCATAAATCAGATCATGTTTTCCAACATTATTTGAGATTATCCAAAGAGCATCTCTGGAACATCTGTCCATCTCTACAAAGAGTCACTTGATCAGTGTCACAAATTTACTTATAAGTGACCTAGAAATAGTGTGGAATCAGAAGTATTTTTATTCATTTTAGGTCATAGGTCACATTCTTCCTTAGTTTTTATTTTTTCCAATTCAAAATATTGTTTGTTTACAGCTTTACATCTAACTAACTTTATCATCATCTGACCCTGAGAGTGTTGCTATGCAGTTGCTAGGGTGTTCTGATTGGTTGCTGCTGGTGGTTATTTACTGGCTCACCCCCAAGTGTCTATGACATTTAGTCTCAGGTCTCTCTTTCAGTGTCAGTCTGCGGGATGCTTCCTATTTATCATCCTCCAGGTGGAAAGTATAGATCCAGTGTCTATAAGTAACAGCAGACTTCTCCACAATAGGACACATGCTTTGAGATATCATTCATAACTGTAGCATGTACGGTGTGGGAGGAATTACGTGCTGAATTTAATACTTGGGTTAGTTTAATACTAACTAATAATGATCTACTTCCTGGATGTGGTACAGTAAGCTGTGTGATTTGAGCTGCAGGTTCAAACTGTTTTTCTGTGATGGCTTTCCGTGCTGCAGGTGATGACGAAATATAGAGAGCTGTATGGATCGGCATGCGTCAGTGAGCTGCTGGGTTTGGATAAAGCCGCACTGGACTTCAGCTCAGAGGCTCAGGAGAGCAAGAGACCCGTACAAAAGGTTGCCCTGTGAGTTACGACCCTGTGACCCTGTCTTGACTATTTACCATATTTATTTCACCAACCAAACCAGTTTCTATTCAGCAAAACAGCCCAATCATTTAATCTGCAGAGACTGACAATGAAAAAACGATTTCTGTGTTTGCCAGATGATGGCGTCAGTATTCAATATGGTAGGCTTTAAATAAATCAAATAAATCATTCTCATGTTTTCACAGCTTTAGATTAAACACCGTTGATGTGAAGTACCAGATATGGAAGCTGGGAGTGGTTTTCACCGACAATGTAAGATCCCCTGACTCTTTAAATACTGAACATATAATACCTGAAGAAATTGACCATCAGTGAGTCAAATCTGAAATTAAATTGTGTTTTCCTTTCTCTCAGTCCTTCCTTTACCTGACATGGTGTATGTTTGTGTCAGTCCTGGGTCATTATAACAATGTCTTCTTCGTTGCCCACCTGCTAGACATCGCCATGGGCTTCAAAACACTGCGCACCATACTGTCATCTGTTACACATAATGGCAAACAGGTACTACATTTGATGTGTGTTTGTGTGTATATAAAGTCGCCCCAAAATGTATTTAGACGCTCAAGTCACACTTCAAAAATATGAATGTCATTATACTGTCATTATAATGTTATTATAACAAAAATATGCTAGCACTAACTGGTCAGGTTTTATTTATGTATGTTATATGTATATGTATATTTTTATATTTATATACTACTATTCAACTGTTTTCTATTTTAATTTATTTCAAGATGTAATTTATTCCTGTCATGGCAAAGTTGAATTTTCAGCAGGCATTACTCCAGTCTTCAGTGCCACTTGATGCTACAAAAATCATTCTCATGTGCTGATTTGATGCTCAAGAACATTTCTTATTGTTATCAGTATTGAGAAAGTTGATTATTAATCATTTTGTGAAAACTATGATAGATTTTTTTCAGGATTGCTGCAATTTAATGCCGTTGTTAATAAAACTATTGTGTGACACTGTCCAGATGTTTGGGTTACTGTATAAGTGAGAAGGTGTGATGCAGGTGTGATGCTGTTGTCTGTGTTTCAGCTGGTTTTGACAGTGGGATTGTTGGCCGTGGTTGTGTATCTTTACACTGTGGTTGCCTTTAACTTCTTCCGCAAATTTTACAACAAAAGCGAAGACGGCGAACCAGTGGACATGAAATGTGATGATATGCTCACAGTGAGAATCCCTCTTTTATATTTTACCATTAACTTAAACTAATGTTCAAAAGTTTGAGGTTTATTTTTTTTTAAAGTCCTTATGTTCACCAAGGCTGCATCTATTTGATCAAAAATACAGAAAAACAGTAATATTGTAAAATATTATTACAATTTAAAAGGTAATTTATTTCTGTGATGGCAAAGCTGAATTTTCAGCATCAATTTCTTCAGTCTTCAGTGTCACTTGATCCTTCAGAAATCATTCTAACATGTTGATTTGGTGCTCAAGAAACATTTCTTATTATTATGAATGTTTGAAAACAAGTGTACTGCTTAATATTTTTTTGTGGAAACTGGTACATTTTTTTATGATTCTTTGATGAACAGAAGGTTCAAATGAACATAATTTATTTGAAATAGAAATCTTCTGTAACATTATAAATTACTTTGCTGTCACTTTTGATAAATTTAATGCATTCTTGCTGAAAGAAAGTATTTATTTCCTTTTTAAAAATTAGCAACCTGTAAGGGGTGTTGAAGCTAATTTCTCATGCAAAAATGTTAACCAATCATAACAGAATCAATATAGAGTCATTAAAGGTGCAGTTGCAAAAACAGCTTGTTTAAAGAGAGGTAGTGGAAAATGGTTGTATAAAACAAAATGATGACTGTTTCAGTGCAGGACTAAAGCAAAAAAAAAAATTGTGAATAATTCTGTAAATATTAATATTCATGTGTGCATAGTGTTACATGTTCCACATGTACAGTGGGGCAAAAAAGTATTTAGTCAGCCACCAATTGTGCAAGTTCTCCCACTTAAAAAGATGAGTGCGAGCTGGAGGAGGGATTGGAGATGAAATCGAAGACCAGTTTGAGTTCTAACGTATCATCTTTGACATCACTTTATTCTTCTTC